ACAACTTCAACCCAGCCATCCCTGCAGGTGAACAATCTCCAACCACATCCCACATGGGCAAAACAAAGGAGCAGAGATAAAGATTGTTTTCTCTTCTCCTCTCTGTGCTTCTCCTGAGAGACAGAATTGTGTCTCTGTCCAGAGAACGTGAATGCCACAGAAGGGACGATTGTCTCATCGTCTTGGCCAGGTTCTTGCTGGGGGTGTTTCCTTAGAGTCTCTTTCTTGCCTCTGCTGAGATTCCAAAGACGCTGCTGGCATCTCCTGCCTCTCCTCCTCCCCTTGGCTGCATGTGAAAAATGACAACCGCTTGTTTTGAAATTTTTAAATGATTTAATCGTAATAAAATAGTTATAAAAATAGTAATAAAAATTGGAGCAATAAGAATTTGGACAATCAGAGTTAGGACAATAAAGAACAATAAAAGCAAATAATTACGGACATCTGCATGCTTTCCTCTTGAAAGTATGGCTCACTAACAAAGGATTAACCCTTAAAAGCAGCAGCCTGTTGCATATTCATATATCTCATACATGATGCATAAATTCTTTTCAAAGGGTGTTCTCTGGTTATCATCAACTTCTTCCCCTCAATCCTGGTGGATCCTTAAAGGCAGAGAGGAGGTGGAGGAATGTTTGTCTTTTCCCATAAGGAGGCAGTAGCTCTTTAGGTGTCTTGTTGTTGTTAAATCTGCGTGAATAATCTCTTGATTATCTCATCCCTTTCTTGAGCTTGTTAAAAAATTATCTCATCTCGCATCGTTTCTATTATAACATTATAACCTAAAACTGTATCTACCACACTGCTTAAAAAGGGCTAATACAGTACTACAAAATAACTTTCCAACGTAACACATCTAGTATTCTGTTTAGTATTTGCAGAGAGCCAATAATTTAATATGCATTTTCCACCCTGCACATCCAGTGGGCCCCGCTTGGAGCTGCTTGTCTGGAACGCCCCTGGGGTGGTTTTGTCTCGGGGTCCGGGATGTCGAGGTGACCCCGAGAATGTAAAAAGTCTTTTTCTCCCACTCTGTGCAGCCAAAGAAAAAGTCTGAAATGTGTAGGGTCAGCTTCTCAAGGTTGTTTATTTTTCCTTACCTGCAGCATTCTTTCTCTGACCCGCTGAGCTCCATCTAGCAGGTCGCCCATGGCATTCTGTCTGCCCTCTAGGGCAGTGTTTACGTTTTACACCAAAAACAACATTTACTATGTTTACAATATTGTGCCAGTATCTATAATTTATGTTAGACAGTGTGTCTCTGCCTTAAACCAGTAGAAACCTCGGGCAGCACCAGGGCCCAGCCAGGGCTGCACCCAAAATGACCCAAAATGGTCCCAAAATGCACGAGCGCTCCCGGGGCTCTCCCTGGGATCAGTTCTGCTCCATTTGCATATTGGGGTTAATTGTCCGATTCCAGCTTTAGGTTATGAAGTCCCATCCCTGTTTTTCTCTTCATTCCACGCTGTTTGTGCTCCTGGGCTGAGATTTGGATCATTTGTCCTTGGTGCCCAGCTGGAGCAGGAATTGTTTTGTCTCCCTGCTCTGTGCAGAGAGCTCACCATCCCATCATGTGAAGCCCAGACCCACCCACTAAACCAGCACAGAATGTGAAAAAAATAAAAGTTAAGACCTGAGGCATCGCTCGGTCCCCTCTGCCCCTCGCTGAGCTTCTCTTGATGTCCCCTCGTGGCATCTCCACCCTGCCAGCCAGTCCCAGAGTCTGGAGCCAAGCTGGTGGTTCTTGTTCTGGTGGTTTGTTCCCATCTCTGCCTCACCCTCCTACAGCTGGAAGGGAAAGCCCCTTCCAGAACTTCACCGCATCACAGAGTCATGGAATCATGGAATGCTTAGGGTGGAAAAGGACTTTAAACCTCATCCCAGCCCTTGCCACGGACGGGGACATCTTCCACTGTCCCAGGCTTCTCCAGGCCATGGTTCTCTCTCAACAGACAAATCCCATGGGATGCAGGTTCAAGGAATCCAAGCAAAACCCTGAGCTCTGAGGAGAACTTGGAGCCATCCCAGCAGCTGCATCCCTCTGGAATGTGAGGAACTTTCATCCCTGGAAGTGTCCAAATCCAGGCTGGACCAGGCTTGGAACAGTTGTGGACACTGCCAGGGATTCAGGGGCAGCCACAGCTCCTCTGGGCACCCTGTGCCAGGGCCTGCCCACCCTCACAGGGAACAATTCCTAATTCCCAAAATCCCACCCAAATCTCCCCTTTTCCAGTGGGAAGCCGTCCCCATTGTCCTGACCCTCCAGGCCCTTGTCCGAAGTTCTGATCCCTTTCCATCCTGCTCTGCTCCAGCCTCCCCAGCTTTGCTCCCAGCTCCTGCAGAATTCCTTCACATCTCCTCGCCCAGGCTAAGCCCTTGGACAACCCCTTGAACCTCCTTCTCCTGAAGTTCTCTGTTCCCTCTGGCATCCTCCTGCCCCTTGGATCTGCTGCTGCCGTGTCTGGAGCAGCCCCATCCCCTTCTTCACAACTTTTAGGTCCTTCCAAACCTGGAGACACCAGGACAGGGTGGTCCTGTCCCCTCTCCTGTCCCACATAAACCTCTGCCCCCCATCTCACCTCCCTGGGCCCTGCAGGTGGCTGAAGGGGCAGCAGGAGGACAAGCAGGACACGGATGTCCATTACCACTCCCTCACTGGTGAAGGCAACTTCAACTGGCGCTACATCTTCCCCTTCGACTACCTGATGGCCGAGGAGAAGATTGTCATCTCCAAGAAGGAGTCCATGTTCTCCTGGGATGAGACCGAGTACAAGATCCCCGCCCGCCTCACCCTGCAGGTCTGGGACGCCGACCACTTCTCGGCCGATGATTTCCTGGGTATGTGGAGGGTCCAGAGCGTCCCACAAACCCCTTGAGCTGCTGCTGGGTGGAGCAGGTGGGAGGAGAGGGCAGGGAGGGTCTGCAGGGGGTTCTGGTCGGGCTGGATCCATGGGCCGAGGACAACTGCCAGGTCCTGAACTAGGGTCACACCAACCCCACCGAGCGCTCCAGGCTGGGAAAGAGGGGCTGGAAAAGGCCCTGGGGGTGCTG